TATATATATATATATATAATTTGATTATTTTTATATTGATTGCATTTTGTTTTGCTGTTTTATTATTCTGTTGTATGGAGGGGCTTTTCAACATATGGAATAAACTTTAGAAAGGTGGTGTAATACAGAAAGCATTGTGTGTGACATAAGATTGTGTTTTCTAATAACCCTCTTGTATCAGATTTATAAACCACAACAGCTATAATGGAAAATGTAACAAGCTGATTTTTAATAAGATATTTATTTTTTGAAGAAACAATGTGAATTGCAGGGCAGACTAGCTTCTGAGACGTGTACAATGACTGGCTGTGGTCTTATTGCACTGGTATTAAAGGGAAAGGTTTTACAAGTTCTAAACGTGGGAGTAAAGTGTTTTACTGGGGTGCTATAAGTAGGGGATGGTTCTTGTATTCAGTAACTCGTCCAGCAGTGCACAAACCTTGGAGAGGGCCCCAAGGCTTCCTATTCTTACAGAAACATGTGAACCCTGCTCATTTCATATGGCCTTCCCAGAAGAAAGTCACAAGTGGAGGCTAATAAAACTGTAGCACAGAGTTTAAAAAGCAGATATTTTCCTTGAGCTTGCAAAGGCAGACTAGCTTGCTCTAGCAGTCTACAGATCGTCTGAAAGCCAAGGGTAAGTGCTTTGGGAATGCGTGGTTAAAAATGGTGCACTGATTTACATACTAAATCAACTAATAAACTCACTGATTCAACTGACTTTTCACACCACACATCCGAGCAGAGCAATGCGGTTTGCATAGAGTAATATTTGATGAAATGATTTGTATCGTTCTTCCTTAGCTTCTGCAACAAAAGGAAGAAAACACTAACCAAATGTAAGACAGAAACTCCAACACAAGTCTTGAAAAGGCGTTCAGTTGTTTAGTTTTTCTTACTTACATCAGATTGTAACGTACTTGCCTTAAAGATATAGGAAACAGTAGGCTGTATAACAGTATACAGTGCAGACTGTACAGAATCAAACACCAACGTCAATTGTGTTACATCCTAACAGTTGCTATTTAAAAAGTTAAAATGTTTAAAACTAATATTATTCAATATAAAAATGTTTTGTGTGTCGGGCAGTAACCAAAAAAGGGCGACCTTTAATTAATAATAATTTCGTTTTTATATTTTGAATTTTACTTGCTTGTAAATAATGCCTATTGGGTTATGGTCTTTGGCCATTGGGGATCACTTTGAAGACCACCCCAAAGAATTCCTCCCAGTCGCCTTCTATAACAGTCTGACTCCTTTTGCTCCTTTTGTCCATTCTTACTATACACTCAGGATATGTACGATTTATTTGTGTGTAAAATGTTGTGGCATTTCGAGAACGTTCTCAGATTATGTAATTTTTTATCTAAAATACATTTGTAACAAAGCACACTTTTTAAACCCCTTTTTTTTCAAAGTAGCCACTATTTTTAAAAAAGTATCTGTGTAGCCAATGCATTGTGGTGTAGAAAGTACAGTGCAAAAGATTGATATGCCCACTAGAATAAATGTGTATTATGAGTGTGTGTATATATATATATATATATATATATATAGAGGTCGAGCTAAGATGAACCTTTGCATACGAAACTGGACTGGGAGGGGTTGTTGCCTAGACGTGAGCTTTCATTGGCTGCATTCATTTGCCGTGGTGCAGGGGTATCTCTAATCATATTCAGCATGTTTTGCACAAGAAATGTCAGCCAGAAAGGAATATCTCCTCTCTTCGCCAAATTATTCCACAACAATGTCATGCTCAGAGGGTCCGGCTGCAAACTCTTTCCTGGTGGATTCGTTGATCAGCGGAGGCAGAGGAGAAGCTGGGGGCTACTACCAGGGAAGTGGAGTCTACTTGCCCCAGGCGTCCGAGATATCCTATGGGCTGCAGAGCTGTGGACTTTTCCCAGTTTTGAGCAAGCGAAATGAAGGTCTTCCCCCAAATAACACGGCGGCCCCCACATCTCAGAATTATGCTACAGGGATGGAGGTCTGGCTAGATGCCCCAAGGTCCTGCCGTGTGGAGCAGCCTGAAAGCCAAGCAAGCACCTCCTGCTCCTTTACGCAAAATATTAAAGAAGAGAATTCTTATTGCCTCTATGACTCTGACAAATGCCCTAAGACTTCAGCTGCAACTGACCTGTCCACTTTCCCAAGGGTTAATTCTGAGGCTAGCCCTGGCCACAATGCCAGCTCTGTTCCAGTGCCAGGCTACTTCCGCCTCTCCCAGGCATATGGCTCATCCAAGGGCTATGGCGCTCCCGGGCAGATTGCTGCACCGCCACATTTTGTACCCCAGCCCCAGGTTCGGTTTGATCATCCCCTGCCTTTATCTTCGATGCCCGCAGACAACGTACGGAAAGACACCGAGGACTCGCCCCCTAGCAAGCTCCCAGGCGCAGCCCAGCATCGAGCAGAGGAGGAGGCTCATCATCACACGTCTTCATCCGGCGCTGAGGATTCCTCTCCGGCTCCATCTGACAGCAGCAAACATTCCCCGGAGAAAGACACCGGAGGTGAGCACTCACACTCACTCTTCTACGTGAAATTACATCACAAAGGGAAGGGGCATATAACCAGAGATCACAGAGGAAGCCCTCTCTTTTTTTTTTTTTTATTATGATCCTTTGAACTATTTAATAATTGGGCGTGAGTACGTCATAAAAATCATGTCCATCCTAAACTTTACACCACATGCTTAACTGTGCTTTGTCCTAGAGGAAGTAGAGACCCACTATAAAAAAGCATAGTTATTTATAGGACTCCAACTGAAGAGCGTTACAGGCGCCACTACCAACATCCCATCCAAAATATGACAGTAAATACCCCATGTATATGTGTTAACTAGATGTGAACTGCCCTCTGCTTCCCTGAATAGTGTCGAACCCAACACTCCCTGGTCTCTCTGGCCTGTAGTCCTTTCTACAGATGTTAGTACGGAACACACATATCTATTAGCTACCCACAAAATAAAATTAAAAACATGTAAATAAATATATATATATATACACACACACACAGATTGAGGGTGGGAAAAACATTTATATCACATATACCAACCAATTTAAATTCTGATAGTAGACACAACATTTAAATTCTGATAGTAGATAACCAAGGACTATACTTAAGCAAAGGTCAAGATTTCTCAGATTATGAGGCATTTGGAGAATGCTACCTACTGCAGTCTTCATGCCACTGTTTCTTTCTATTTAATAAATTACATTTATATATATAAATATATATTACAGTACTGTAATATATACTACTAAATAGGTAAATCCAAAAGTGACAATTCAGCCAACTGGTTAACAGCTAAAAGTGGAAGAAAGAAACGCTGTCCATACACCAAGCACCAAACCCTGGAACTGGAAAAGGAATTTCTGTTCAACATGTACCTGACTCGAGAGCGGCGCCTAGAGATCAGCCGCAGTGTTCACCTTTCAGACAGACAAGTGAAAATCTGGTTTCAGAACCGCAGAATGAAACTCAAGAAGATGAACCGAGAGAACAGGATCCGGGAGCTCACAGCCAACTTCAACTTCTCCTGATGAGCCTGCAC